GGTTGTCCTCAGTTACAGTTCCATTGGGCATCCCATACACCCCTTACCCTATCCAAGTTACAATCCTCTAATAAAATCACAAAAACAAAGCTCAAGGACTGGTCACTGTCTCCTGGATGTAAGTTTTTGTGGAAATGCGTGTTGCCTGGACTATAGGGGGACCCAAAACGTTAGTGACTCCTAAGGGGGTAGTGCTACACAATCATAAAGTTGCTCAGGGATAAGGCTCTTTTGAGGCCTTAGGCCACCTTTTGCATAGGTGGGCTCTTCTTTCTGCCTATCCTAGGAACTTTCCTTCTGTTTTTCTGTCCTGCATTGAAACGTCCCAAGGAGTTTTCTCTCCACTGTTTTGACATGGTTTGTGCTATGAAAGCTTACCTCTTGGCTATGGCTTCTGTTCAGCATTTGGATTGCTTCTTTCTTTTGAGGGTTCTCACAGGGAATTTCTTGCTTCTCTCTGCGCTGGTGTCAGGTGGGTTAGGCTAGTCATTGTTCAAGTCTGTTCATTGGGGGATAGGGAACACCCTCTCCTGTTAAGTCACTCTCCACCTCTCTCTGGGTGCCTCTTGGGCTTCTCAGCACCAGACATTGTGCCACTTGGTTCTGTTCATGCATTTGCAAGCTTGCCAGGTGGATGTTCAGGCCTATGCTGATGCTGGATTTGGCAGCTAGGTGCTACTGATTGCCATTTCAGTTAGGGTTCTTGACCTGTTGTTCTACGGGCCTGTTTTTCTTGTGTTGCCCACCTCTCAAATTGGATTGCTTTTAGATTTCCCAATCATCTATGACTATGCTTGTGTCCTGTAGTCTATGGGAAAGATAATAGGATTTTTGACTTACTTGTAAAATCCTTTTATTGGCGTAAAGTACAGGACGCAGGAACCAGGGATTGCTGGGAGTAGGAGGAGTTATATGGGATTCCTTATAGCTCTGATTTTGCTAGGGTCCAATCACCTGAAGGTAGCAGCCCTGTAGTCTGACTATTTAAAGGTAAATAAAAAATCATATTACTTTGTCTACCATTGTTTTTTCTACAGTATTCCAGAATGGAATTCATAGAATGCAAAGCATTGTGTGAGAGTAATAATATGAGCAATATGAATGGTGGAAGGGTGTGGGCAAATGACACAACTTTTTTCAGTAGCAGAGGCTGCTGTCAACTCTCACAGTACTGGAAGACTGCCACTCAGGGCAGTATCCTGCAGCTCTGAAGGTGGCACTGAAGGGAAGATTTTTAGCAGAATCATTCTCCTGCAGGTAAGGCCTCATTCACATGGGGCAACTTGATCCATACCTTGTGCACGGCCGTGTTTACCACACAGGGATGTACAGGTGTTCTGTAATCCCATTAATGTCCAATGGGACACAGCCACAGCTCCCAATATTGTAGGTGCGTGTCCTCAAACTCTCCCTGGGCTTGTTTGGGGTTGTGCACCCGCACCAACATGGATGTCACATTGGGAGCAGTGGCTGTGTCCGTGCAGCCACTGTGTCCCAATAGATAGCTATGGGACTACTGGAACGAGGAAGCACGCAACACCTGTGCTTCTCCATGCTGGTAAAACATAGGACTGCGTGAGGCATGGATCACGTCGCCCTGTGTTAACGAGGTGTAATGGGACACACACAATATTACACATATTTAATAAAGGTTGCTGTATCCTCCCCCCCCCCCCACAAAAAATAAATAAACTGCATTTTAAAAAAAAAAATCCAAAAACACGGCAATTCAGTATACTATTTTGAACACTACTGTATGCAAATGATTTTGCCTTGATGGTTTTAGTTCTAGTATTACCTGAAAGTAACACTAGATCAGGTATGTGATAATTATAGCACGTATCTGATCTTTATCAAAGTCTAGGAAAAAGTAGCACTAGATCAGGTATGTGATAAATATAGCACGTATCTCATTTTCATCAAAACCTATTAGAGGTGTCCTACTTTCATAAATGTAAATAGATTTTAGATGTAGTTACCCTTTGAATTTGCATGTGGCTATGCATTACTTCTGTCGAAAAAGTTTTTTTTTTTTTCTGCTCATTTTCTCTGCATCTTATCTTTAGCAATCTGTGTACTCAATGAAAGTAAATTAGAATATCTAAAACATAAACTAACACAAAACAATCATTTTATTTTGCAATTAAATGTAAAGCAGCAATTTACATTAACATTTTCATGTAAATTAGGACAAATGTATTAAAGCGGAACTAAACTTTATCTGAGCACCACAAACAAAAAATGCTATTTAATTAATTTTAATATTCAAAGAAAACTCACTCATCCATCCATGTCTCTATGCCCTAGCATTTTTATCCATGGACATCTTGAGTAAGAACAGATGATGCATGTAGCATTTACTGAGAAAGTCCCTCTTCCAGATGAAAGGAAAAAAAAATGCCATAAACAATCCTGGGATGTATGACACTATTTTGGCGTAGGCTAGAAACCAGGAAGCAACTGAAGAATTGTTTAACAATAAAAAGGTTAAAATAAATAAATATAATTTACGTATATCTATGTATAGGTGGGTGGAAGGGCTGTGCACAGAAAGGAAAAAAGCTACAACAAATAGGCAATATTCCCCAAATATATATTGGAAAAGGAACAGAAGAAACTCCAAACTTCTCAATGAGAGATTGAGTAGGGAGATTTTGTAAATGCCACTCAATATGAACACAAAAAATGTAAAACAAGTACAACTTTATTAATACAGTAAAAACCAAGAATTAGTTAAAAGGGTCCATATCCCAAATGATCGATCCGAATCATCTAAATACAGAGCCTGGTGGATCAATGCACTCGCATAAATAAAATGCTTCATCAGGACACACATGCTCCTATTTTCATAAGGACGAGGAAGGGTCCCAAGTCAGCTTGACTGTGGCCTTCATACCGACTATTTCACCAGGCTGCAGCACTCTTTCCCTGGCTCCTAGCCTCCACAGTTTTCCCTGTCTTTCCATTGGCGCTCTTTGCTCCTGAACCACCCTTTAAAAAGCTTGATGCAATTGAGTGTGTATTCCTTTAAGTGTGAGGTCTTCATTCTCAGCTAGTGGAATAAGCAAACTTTTCCCTAGTCTTGTTCCTGGCAGTCTGGAACATACAATTGCTAAAGTATCAAATGTCTCCGTCTTCCCTGCGGTTGAGAAGACATAAGTTATTTTAACTGGAATGTAGCCATCATAGGGGAATTTTTCAGAGCCAATACCCCAGATCTCCAACTGGGATATGTTTCAGATACTTGTCATAAAAGTCTCTGTATAGCAGGGTCTCCTGGGTCCCAGTATCTAGCAGTACCTTTGTGTACACCCCCTCCACTTGAACTAACACTATAGGAGAGGGGCTAACAAGCTTCTCGGGTAAATCAACTAGCGTTACATGGTTGGCTTGACCTTTTGTTCTTCCTGCTAGTTGATAGAATGACCTGCAGTGACTACATTGAGGTGGCGCATTGACTTTCTTCGCATTTCTCCCTGGCTCTGGTGGCTTCAATCAAGAGCTTCGTAGAGAATTTCGATGAATTTCTAAGAGACTTCTTCCTACATTTTCACTTGGATTTCAGACTCTTCTGTTTTTTGGAGCACTGACTTTTTTTGGGGCCATCAGTTAGCTCTTTCACTGAGGCCCCCTGAAGATACCCCCTTTCTTAGAGAGGAGAATCTTCTGTATTGCCCTTAGCACCTCATCGTTAAGTCCTGGAGTGTTCATCTACTTCTGTCTCTCTGTCACTATGGAAGCAGATAAGCAGATTTTGGCAGTTCTTTGAGTTCTTTTGATTCTTTTCCTCTAAAAAAGCTTCCTCCTCTCTTACCTAGCTTACTAATTTAGGGAAAGTGGGAGTTTCATGTGATCCCTTGAGTAATAGTTTCAGCACAACGGGTGATTGGGTTGAGCACCTTGAAGAATCTGCTCCAGTCAAACTTTATCAGCATCCCGGGGATCAATCCCTTACTTTAGAATAATCTAATGTAGAATTTTATGCACTCAAGTAATGTATTTAGAAAGTCTCTCACCCCTACACTGAGGAGTGTCTTCGAACCAATACAAAAAATTCTGTACATTTCTCCACTTGGCTAAACACAGCATATACATTTCTTCACCCTTTGGCTCATGACTCCGCTTGCTAACAGTGGGAGATGAGATATCTCGGATAAGCCCCTAAATGTGGTGCTACCCTCTCAGGGGTCGCTTGTCTCCAGTGGTTGCGCTGACCTTGCAAACCTGCTGACACCTCTGACACTGGTTTCAGACTTATTTCAACAGTATAGAACAGTGTTCCTCAAACTACAGCCCGTGGGCCACATGCGGCCCGCCGAGGCCATTCATTCAGCCCGCCGGCAGGGGCGTATTTGCCGCGAGGAAGGGACACTAAGTACAGGGGCAGGTAGGGGGCTGCTGTATCTTACCTGGCTCCGGTCACAGTCCCACGACGATCCAGTCCAGGAAGCGCTGCTCCTTCATTCACTCCGGCCACTCCCTCACTCGATGTTCATGCTGCCGCTCGGCTCCGCCTCCTCACCGGCGATTAGGCGCCAGAACTGTAGCTCAGGAAAGGAGCTGTGAGGAGGCGGAGCCGAGCGCCCCCCGCGAACATCGAGTGAGGGAGAGGCCGGAGTGAATAAGGACAGCTGACAGGTAAGTGGGTAAGTGTGCCGTGCAGATGGTGCTGCTGCAACCAGGTATGCTGGCTGCAGCAGCACCATGCTGGAGCAGGGGTCAGCAAGTTCAGTGTCATTGGTGTCAGTAGGAGGAATAGTGTTCCATCATTGGTGTCACTGATACTAATGATGGGGCATTATTCCTCCCACTGACACCAATGATGGGGCACTATTCCTCCCCCCCCCACTGACACCAACGATGGGGCACTATTTCACCCCCCACTGACACCAACGATGGAACACTATTCCTTTCCCCACTGACACCAATGATGGGGTACTATTCCTCCCACTGACACCAATGTTGGGACACTATTCCCCCCCACTGACACCAATGACGTACTATTCCTCCCACTGACACCAAAGATGGGGCACTATTCCTCCCACTGACACCAATGATGGGACACTATTCCTCCCACTGACACCAATGTTGGGACACTATTCCCTTCCCCCACTGACACCAATGACGGGGCACTATCCCCCCCCCACACTGACATTAACGATGGGGCACTATTCCTCCCGCCACTGACACCAACAATGGGGCACTATTCCTCCTCCCACTGACACTAATGATGGGGCACTATTCCTCCCACTGACACCAATGATGGGGCACGATTCTTCCCACTGACACCAATGATGGGGCACTATTCCTCCCACTGACACCAATGATGGGGCACGTTTCTTCCCACTGACACCAATGATGGGGCATGTTTCTTCCCACTGACACCGATGATGGGGCACTATTCCTCCCACTGACACTAATGATGGGGCACGACTCTTCCCACTGACACCAATGATGGGGCACTATTCCTCCCACTGACACCAATGATGGGGCACTATTTCGCTCCATAAGACACCCTTGGGGGGAAATGTCTGTGCATCTCATGGAGTGGCTGGCCCAGTATTCCCGCCGCCGTTGTATGCCTGCAGTCTTTGGTCATCTCCTGTACTGTATCCGCATTTGTTCATAGTTTTTTTTTTTTTTAAAACTATAGTCCGGCCCTCCAACAGTCTGAGGGACAGTGAACTGGCCCCCTGTTTAAAATGTTTGAGGACTCCTGGTATAGAATATGTATTCACGGGTAAAAAAAACTTTATCGGTGCATCCTTACTTAAAAATTAATATTTGTTTGCAGCATGCCACTGCATTATATGAAAGGAAACAAAATATGCGTGGGAACAGTTAGCACCTAAAACACCTCAAATCACATCACTCACTGCATCCCCTATCCACATAAATAAAATAAAACTTAGGTATATGCTAGTAAGGCCTATTATCCCTGATTAAGGATCCATTCACACCAGGTGCAGTGGGACTATTCCAACGCAGTCCCACTGCAAGATAAGGCAAAATGCCTGGTCTCCTTTGTGCCCAGTTCACACCACTGTGTTGTGGTGGTGTGCGCTGTGACCAACTGAACTTAATGAAATGTCAATGTGTGACATTTCAATAAAGTATTAAGTGAATAAAACTTAAAAGAAACATTTGCTGACACCCAGTACATGTGGTATGATAGCCTGCAGATTACAGAAAATATGTCTAGCATCTTGCTGACACTCTCTGTCTCTTGCGCGCATGTGTGCGTGCGGGTGCTGCTGTGTCTAAGCTTCGCCCTATGTTTAACATCATTAAAGATTTCAGCAGCTGTTGATATCAGAAGTTCTTCATAGTTGAATATAGAAGGTCTGTGACAGATTTAGCGCTGAAGATGAGACAAATGCACAATATATAAGTGGTCAGGGGCAGCTTTTATTCTGTTGAAGTGCACCTTTAGAGCAGCAGTGGAAGGAATTTACAAATAAAGAAAAACTGTTATGCTGATTGTTGTTTCTGTTTCCATCATCCAGGGACAATCATTTTGACCTTTCCATTGAGTGTAATGCATTTCAAATATATGATAAAATTTGCCCTCAGTTTTGTTAACCACCATTCATAATACAGGAAACAGCGATCAACCCAGAAAAGAATGAGTGTGGTCAGCAGAAGCTCCTGTAGTTGAAGAAAGAAAGTGTTCTGTTCAGAACAAAAGTATTTAGTCAGAAAATGATAAAATACTCCATCTATGCTTTTTGTAGAATTAATGAGGCTACTTCATCGAGACAATTGTAAGAATACTACATAAAAGATAGGAAATGTAGCATGGTATAACAATATCAATAACATCATTATAATATCCCAAATAAATATACTGTACTGGAAAATATAGCATTTAAAGTTTAATATATACATATAACTATTTGTGATCCCAGCTTTAACATAATGAAAAGTTTAGATTCTACAAACAAAATAGTATTTCTGGCATTTTACATAGGATAGTCCCTGGATCAACAATCCTTGGTGTTAGTATCTATAAATGTTAATTACCAGTTATATTTAGAAATGCTGCAGTCACATTGGCACAGTGGCATTTTTTGCTGGCTGATAGCTAAAAAGAGTGGGAAATTTGAGTGGACAGTTAAAAAGTTTTTTACTTTTGACTGCTGGTGATTGCTGGTGCTTGTAGTTGTTTTATTTTCTTCTTTGGGTCTTGCTAAAAGCTTTTACTTTTTTTAAATCACTTTTTCTGTCACTTATTTAAATAGCATTTATTTCCCTTTCCTTGTCTTCCTTCAGTCTGCTAATTAAGTGGAGGCATTAATTGGTCACAGGTGATACAGGTCCTGTATAACGTGATATAGAGCTCACTCTGAGCTTGCCTGTATTTTGCTTGCTGGACCTTTGACTTATGCAGGCCATAGATGGGTCGAAAATCGGCCGATTTTTCGGCCGAAAATAAAATCGGCTGATTTTCGGATCATTAGTGGGTGATTTGGTCGGCTGTTTTTCGGTATTTTGGCCGTTTTTTTTTTTCGGTAAAGTTGGAAAAAAAACGTCCGATTTTGCCAATCGGCCGATTTTCGCGGCAATAATGGGCAAATCGGACGATTTTTTTACCGATAAAAAATCTGCGCATGAGCAGTGACCTGCAAGAGGAAGACAAAAAGAAGAAAAAGAAGAAAAAAGGATGAAGATGATGAAGAGGAAGAAGTAGAAGAAGAAGAGGATGATGATGATGATGAAGAGGAAGAAGAAGTAGAAGAAGAGGATGATGATGATGAAGAGGAAGAAGAAGTAGAAGAAGAAGAAGAGGACGATGATGAAGAGGAAGAGGAAGTAGAAGAAGAAGAAGAAGAAGAGGATGATGATGATGAAGAGGAAGAAGAAGTAGAAGAGGATGAAGATGATGAAGAGGAAGAAAGAAGTAGAAGAAGAAGAGGATGGTGATGAAGAGGAAGAAGAAGTAGAAGAAGAGGATGATGATGATGAAGAAGAGGAAGTAGAAGAAGAAGAAGAAGAAGAAGAGGATGATGATGATGAAGAGGAAGAAGAAGTAGAAGAAGAAGAAGAGGATGATGATGATGAAGAGGAAGAAGAAGTAGAAGAAGTAGAAGAAGAGGATGATGAAGAGGAAGAAGAAGTAGAAGAAGAGGATGATGATGATGAAGAGGAAGAAGAAGAGGATGATGATGACGAAGAAGAAGAAGAGGATGATGATGATGATGATGATGATGATGAAAAAGAAGAAGAAGAGGATGATGATGAAGAAGAAGAAGAAGAGGAGGAGGAAGAAGAAAAAGAATGAAAAATTAGAGGAATTCCAGTACGGCAAAAAGTGTCCCTGCAGAGAGCTCCGCTATTTCTTTGACAGTTCTCTGACAGTTCCTTGACATTTACAGAGGTTGCAACATTGTATCTATTTGTTTCCGAATAAAAACATCTGTATCCTAAATGGAAACAAATAGATACAATGTTGCAACCTCTGTAAATGTCAAGGAACTGTCAGAGAACTGTCAAAGAAATAGCAGAGCTCTCTGCAGGGACACTTTTTGCCGGTTCTAGACGGGATGAAAATCGGCCGATTTTTTTTTTACCATTGATGGCAACGTCGGCCGCTTGAACGACCGATTTTTCGTTTTTTAAAAGAAAAATCTGCCGTTTTTTTTTTCTCCGCATCTATGGCCTGCATAAGTGGACATTTGATAAGTGGAGTTAAAAACCAGAGCTGGAAACAGGAGATTATAACAGGAGTCTACTAACCTGTAAGTGACAACTGATATTTTCTATTAATATTGTAACTGGGATATGAGTGCTAGCAGGGTTGAAGGTTTTGTGCAATGCACAGTGTGCTGCATGTATGCAGCAATGGAGCAACAGCTCCAGGATGGATACCTCTGCGACAGGTGTGAGCGGGTTGCCCTTCTGGAAACTCGCATTAGAGATCTGGAGGAGCAATTTGCAACACTGGGTAGAACTGACAACCTTGAAAGGGGTCTTCTGTTCTCTGAGCAGGTAGCTAATGGGATTGATGTGGAGAGCGGAGAGGCTAATCAGGTAGGAAGATGGGTTGCTGTAATGAGAGGGAATGGTAGGAGCTCACAGAAAATGAAGGCCGGCCCTGGGTTTGTGCACCCAAACAGATTTGTCAAGTTGGGTGAATATGTGGGGGTGGCAAGCTCAGGGGTGGCAGCCCTTGATGTCACTGCTATCCCTAACAGCCGGGAGGGCAAACCATCTGGGAGGGGTGGTGAGGGTAGTGCAGGAAGGCCTAGACAGCTGGTGGTAGTAGGGGATTCTATAATCAGAAGGACTGATAGAATAATTTGTCACCAGGATCGCCTCAACCAAATGGTTTCTGTCTCCCTGGTGCCAGGGTTTGGCATGTGGTGGACCAGGTTGATAAATTACTGGGAGCAGCTGGGCATGACCCAGCTGTCTTGGTTCTTGTTGGAACCAATGACAGAATACATGGAAGGTGGAGGCTCCTTAAGAATCAATTTAAAGAACTAGGCTGCAAGTTGAAAGGAAGGACCTCAAAGGTAATATTCTCTTAAATATTACCTGTGCCATGCGCAACTCATTAAAGACAGGGGGAGATTAGAGAACTCAATGCATGGCTGAAGACCTGGTGTAAGAGGGAAGGATTTGGGTTTCTAGAGCACTGGGCTGACGTTTCACTGGGGTGCAACCTATATGCTAGAGATGGTTTGCACCTAAATGGAAGGGGGTCTGCTGTGCTAGGGGAGAGATTTATGGGAAGGCTGGAGGAGTATTTAAACTAGGTTCGAGGGGGGTGGGAGAATTAGATTATAACGGGGTAGACATATCAGACAGGGGTCAGTACTTATTGGTGGGAGAAATGGGGAATGATGGGGGGAAGGCTAAGGCAGATAAGAAGGTTCTCATGTTACAAACAACCATCGGAATTGGTACCATTTGTATGAAAATAAAAAATATGCAAAATATGTGTGAACAAGGTGTCAATGAATTAAAGTGTTCACCAATGCCAGAAGTCTGCCAAGAAAAATATGTGAGTTGGAAGCTTTGGTGCATGAAGAGAACTATGATTTAATTGGTATTGCTGAATCTTGGCTTCATTCTTCACACGATTGGGCCATTAATATTCCTGGCTATGTTCTCTTTCGGAGAGACAGGGTAAATAGGAAAGGTGGTGGTGTCTGTCTCTATGTGAGAAGTGATCTCAGAGCAAGTGTGAAAGAGGACCTAGTTGATGGAGAGTGTGATGAGGCTGAAGTATTGTGGGTGGAACTGCACATGGGAGTGCGTACTACAAAGGTAATCATTGGAGATTATTATAGGCCTCCCAGTGTTAATGAGGAGGTGGAGACTCAGCTTCTTGCACAGATCGAAATGGTTGCAAGGACTGGGACATTGATAATAATGGGGGATTTTAACTACCTGGAAATTAACTGGAGTAATGGTACTGCAGGCACAGTTAAAGGGCCAAACTTTTTAAACCTACTACAGGACAACTTTATGGTACAGTTCATAGAGGCCCCTACTAGGAATTATGCTCTGCTGGACCTG